TCCATTTGCCCAGGTTCTTCTCCAACGTATCTGACCGGTCGAATAAGGAAAGAGTAGCTGTTTCCCGTTCTCTTTTTGGAAGCATTCGCAAATCACGCCTAGATCTTTCCAGCTCTGGTTTTTCGGTGTGAAGAAGCAGCGGGCTGCTATATACCAAGATTAATTCAGATGTCTGAAGTCAGGATTCTGTTGAGGCACGTAAGCCCAATGATTCGTCTTATAAATCCGATTTCATCCGCTTGTTACCAGAATCGTCGTAGTTTATCACTCATGACCCTCCGTTCCTCGTACAGTCAGCATAGGGTCGAAAATCACCCGGATGACACACGGGTTCCTCTTCAGATTCAGATCTGTCCTTAGTCACAATATTCAGTGACAGTTCCAGTCTTTCATCACCAGCCAACGTCACCCTAAGTTGCGTGAACATGTCCACGTATACCATTGTCTCTGGGATGCAGAAAGCGTTAAAACTTGGATTTCGAATCATTCAAACTCATACTGGCCAGGCCGCACTCAGTGCGAACCTCTCCAAAGCGCATTGGATATTTGTTTCGCTGACTTCTTCGACGGTAATTGGATCAAAACTTGTTTCACTCTAATAAGTCTGAAGATAGAATCTTTGTTTTCGAGGCATTGTCACTGAATTAAACTATGCCATTTTATTCACACGGTAGAGAATTCCTGATATCGTTACGTAATTCGTTGTTAAGATCAATGATATTACAACCGAAACTGACAGCCTCACCGTAGCTCGACCTCCCTAAAGTATGAAGCGTGGAGTGCAGTCCGTGGCAAAATTGAAAGGAATCGTCAGAGAACATTGCCTTGCCGAACTCGTGACATAGTCAAACAGCTGCGTCAATGCGTATGAATCAATCAAGTAGACAGTAGGTCAGGTAAGTCCTCAGTTTATGCCTGGAGTCCATTTCCTACTAATTCACAGTTTCATAAATTTTTGGCAGAGTCTGCGACTGCTAATAGTTGTGTTTTGATCGTCGTGTGAGTTACCAGGGCTTAAGCAGCAGAATAGCCCAGTTCTTGTTGTTCAAAGGACATATTCTTCTCCGCAGTCAGGTCCGTTTTACTAGGTGTATTTCCCTCTTGTATTTTCTCCTCACATCTGTGGCCAGTGCTCGGTTCCTAAGAAAGAAAACTTTTGAATATGCAGTATCTCCATTCTCTTTTTGGACGATTTTATGAAACCAAAGGCGCCAGGCGCCGGTCGCTGAGTTCATCTCATAGTTTCCTCAGTCAGGCGATCGTCAGCACCTGCTACCTCGTCTTCCGGTGGTACCATCACAGTTGGAGAATGCTGCGTGAACAGCGTTGCTAGAAATTGTGTAAATAAGCTTCGTGACGTTTTACGACGAGAGATGTTTCAGATACGATCGTTTCGTATTTGAGCACCACGAATGCGGCTGCCTTTAAACAGGTGATCGCCTTATCCGTGCTTATGGTCAGATCAGTCAGATCCTTGCATACGTCACACGTTTTGCCATATTTGTCTGATGCCAGCCCAATGCACCGGCCGACTCCAGGATCACTATGGCGTCGTTAGTCAACACGGTTCCGAGGCACTTGGAAGAGACCACTTCGTCCGTCATAGTACCATTTCATAACGTATCTGGACTGGCGGCCATGACTGGCGCTTTGACCGTCTTCGTCGATTTGGCGTTTGCTTGTGGCGCCACTCCCGTGGCGGTGTTGCACGCGCTTTCAATCACTGTCAACGGCCCACTTGAAGAATCGTTTGCAACACAGCACCATCCACATGCTGAAGGTGGTTAGAGCTTGTGTCGCTGACTAACGATCACTCCTTGGTTGTGAGACGACGCACTTCTGCGTAGCGTAGGTGGCCATGACGTTGAATGGCAAAGGAGGTAGGTCCTCACCTTGACGAACTCCACCGATAATGTTAGGCGAGTTCAACGGTGATCCTTCAGTTCTGGCTGCGCATTTACTACCTCCATAAACGCCTTCGGTCAAGTTTATCACTGCTTGTGGAAGTTCGTGGTGATGAGTAACAAGTCACGTGGTAGGTGATTTTCCGAGACTCTCTCGATGTCCGGTTTGCCTGGTGGAAATCGAGTTTCTGTTAGTCAGATTTCTTGGCTGTACCTTCGAACTACCCTCTGCATTTAAATCACTAATCGCATAGGCGGCTCAGCGAAATCGCGACGTGGTCGT